CAGGGATCTAAGAGCGCACCGAGTTGTTGAGACAACACCGAATAGCAAAAGATAAAACTTTCTTGTATTTTGTCCATAAACCACTGCTTCCGCACAGGCAGTCGTAGTTAAGGATTTTTTCGCACTTTCCATTTTGCCTATTTTTAAGAGGTACAAAACTTGATGAAAAAGTATTTGAATTACAAACTGAAAACACTGAATGTAAAATTATAATTGTAAAAATTGCCAACCACAGAGACATAGGCGGGGGTGGCATATATCGTATACATTTCTTGTAAAGACAGTATACAAAATGGTGTTAATTTTTTACATAGATATTTTGATACAAATATAAATAATATGGAGCACTTGATTTACACTTACATTATACAGGGTAATTCAAAATAACCTGATGTCCTTGCCATATTTTTGAGTGAATTCTGAGACGATTTTTCCTTTTACAAAATTTTGTCCGAAGCTTAGTTTTCGAGTTATAATTGAAAATAGGTAGCAACTTACGAGTTAGGTACAACGGGCAGGCAGGAACGCGCAACGTATAATGAGACTGTCAAGTGTTTATTATCGTCTCATGACGCATTGCTCCGTCCCTGCCTGTCCGTTGTATCGGATTGGTAAGTAGCAAACTATTTTCAATTATAACTCGAAAACTAAGCTTTGAACAAAATTTTGTAAAAGGAAAAATCGTCTCAGAATTCGCTCAAAAATATGGCATTGCAAGAACATCAGATTATTTTGAATCACCTTGTATATATATATATAAAAGCACATCATGTAATAGAAATAGAAAAGCCAGAGGCGATCTAACGTATCCCGGCGATGTAGAAATAGAAAAGCCAGAGGCGATTTAACATATCCTGGCGGTGTAGAGTTAGAAAAGCCAGAGGCGATCTAACGTATCCTGGCAATTTAGAATTAGAAAAGCCAGAGGCGGTCTATCGTGAGCTGACAATTTTTAATAAATATTGTCAGAGGCGATCTATTGTAAGCTGACAATTTTTAATAAATATAGTCGGAGACGATCTAACATCAGCTGACAATTTAGAAAGAATAGAGAGCCAAAGGCGATTTGTCCGTGAGCTGGCAAATTGTAAAAAATGTTGTCAAAGGCGATCTATCGTGAGCTGGCAGATTTTAAGAAATACGTATTTCTTTTAGTTAGTAATCTACTACACGTGTGGTCTGTTTTGGTTTTATCGGATAATTTATAAGATTTGTACTTTTTTCCTCGCGATTAAAATTCTATCGTATGGCTGTATGATGTACATACGAGACGAAATAGACTTATACAAGATGTCTAATAGATATCAATTAGATATGATAAAATATTTTATTTGAAAAATGTATATATAATACTATATATCAAATTGGAAAAAAATGTTAAATGCTTTCCCTATTTTTATTCTTGTGTAATTAATACAAAATAAATAAATAAGTTAATTAATTATTCAATACATATATATATTGAATATAATTATCCTTATTTTGTATTTTATATAATGACTGAAACGATATATACTCTCATTATTTCAGTCGTTATCATATAAAATACAAAATAAAGATAACTATTTATTCAATATATGTGTATATGTATATATTAACCTTTTCAAAAAAAAAAGGTAAAGAAAAAGGCGCCAAGTACACGCTCTTGTCACAACCAAAACAAAACAGTATTGTTTTACATTTTAAAAAAATTGCCGTATATATTAAACCTATCAAAAAACCAGTCGTATATATTACCCTTTCAAAAAAAGCTGTCGTTCATATTAAAACCTTTCAACAAGTAATGCTGTTGTGTATATTAAAACTATAAAAAAATATGATATCAGGAAATGACGCCAAGTGGGATTAAAGAACTATGAAAAAAGTTGTACACTATTTCTATAAAACTTTTGTACATAAAGCTGTCGTATATATTAAAAAAAAATCTAAAAAAATACTGTCGTACATATATTATTATATTGCATACTATATTTCACCATATTTTACATATACTATACTATATATATTATATATATTATTACATATACTATACGATATATATATTATTTATAAT